GCGTTTAAATCTTTGATCAGAACAACTGACTCTGGTAAGAACTCCACACCGATCCATCTGAAAAGCAACTCCTTTTCCTATGAAAAAAGGGAGCAAAAGGAGGCTTGCGCAGCCCAGCCTGCCTCTCAGCTGTCTGTGAAAGGACTTTAGGAGAGGGAGCAATACCTGGGGAGTTGGGGCTCACAAAGTACCTAGAGACAGCACTGCTGAGCTCTGCTGCTGCTGGGGGTGAGGTGCCAGACTTCCCTTTTTACCCGTGTCCAGGGAGCAGCACATTTTCCCTCTTCCTCTGCTGCAGAGTCAGAGCCCTGGAGTCTGGTCGTTCGCTGCTGGGGTCATAAGTAGATTGGTCCCAAAATGAGACATTGACACAAAGGTGGGGGAGTCACTTGGCTACCTCATCCTGTGCTCTGTAGTCTTAGGTATCCAGGTTGTTGCTGTATTGGTTTAGAGGCAAAAGGAATCAATTCGTGGTAGAGGTGATGTCTTTTATTAGACCAACTCGATTTTTGCCCCCCTAAAAATAATTTTTTTGGCAAAAATCGAGTTGGTCTAATAAAAGACATCACCTCTACCATGAGTTATGATTCCTGTAGTCTATGGGCATTTATACACATCTTTTCGTCCTGCAGCGTGCCGGAAATCCGGCGGGTCAGAGCAGATTCAATTAACAGAGTTTGCTCCATACACAAGCTGACGTGCACTGCACTGAGTCGTATGCAGTTGTGTAAGCAGTGCGTCAGCGAACAGAAAATGGCTGCAGCGTGCTTTTTGAACTAAAACACGTCCGATATGTTTCAGTTCAAAACTGCCCCACCACCATTTTCTCAGCGCCGATGCACATTTTGCCACTTATACAACTGCATGCGCCGCAGTCCCAGGTGCTTTTACAAGCCTGTGGTGCTGCAGTGCAAGTGTGTACAAATGCCCTTGGAGCCCAACAAAGGGAGCAAGCATGTGGTGTGCACCAGCTCTGCAGATCTTTTGGATCCCAGATGTACAGTGTCCCTGATTATTGTTATTGGGAGGCTAGTGTCCTGCCAGGCTACCCACACCAAACTGGTTTGTAAAGGGACAGACCAGAGTCACAGACAACCTTTTTCCAAAGACCTTTGGTCCTGCCGGGGCATGACTGTGCCGCTAACCAGGTGCTGCAAAGCCCCTGAGCTGAGCTGGCCACCTCACGGGCTCTGAGCTCATTTGAGATGAGGCCTAGTAAATTTAGCTTTCCTGTGTGCAGCTTCCCTGGGGAAGCCCCCTGCCTTCTGGCAACATCCCGGCTGCCTGCAGGGTGCACCAGGGAGGAGTGGCTCAGTTGCCCCCAGTTAAATACCACAATGCATCCTGCCACTTGACAGCAGGGCAGGTTAAATGTTGCAGCTACTAAAACCCCAGGCACCAATGAGACAGGCCTCAGGGAATGACAGTGCTACAAGTTGTTAACCAGCACTGGGCGGTCATGCTGGCACGCAGCACGGGATGCCCGTAGCCCTGAGACAGCTGGTTTTGGACCTTTGAAATGATGTCTGGCATTACGGCGACGGTAGTCGGTGGTACCTGCATCCACCCTGCACAGGCCCGTCATGCCCAGTGCGAGAGCGGCCTGCAGAGCTCGCCGGTCCCAGCAAGAGCGCCCTGCCGAGCCGGGGAAGAGCGTCTTGTGCGGGAAAGCCAGCGGGTCTGATGGGAAGGGTGTCCAGACCACCATGGCCTCGCTACAGGGGTGGGGGGCAGCGGGGGCCCAGGCTCCCACCTAGGCATGTGGTTCTCAACCGGGGCCCTGGGCAAGGCTGGCTGTGATGCCCCCTTGAGCTTGGGCCCTGCCCAGCACTGCCTAGCTCCAGTTGAGCACCCTTATTTTCATGGATAAACTTCCCCAGTTGAAAACCCCCCCACCCTAGCTGAGCACCCTTATTTTCAAGGATAAACTCCCCCGGGCAGTGGGAGCTAGTGGTTAGAGCCGCCCCCTCTGTCGCTTCCCCCGTCGCGGCGCCTTTAAGAGGCGGCCCCGGCCGCGCGCTGAGGTTTGTCCGCTCTCGGCCGCCATCTCGA